ATTTTTCCTTCATACTTAATGGTCATATGAGAAATCACAACTATACTTATTAAAGGAATACAAAAACAAATCAGCCCATTCCCAGAAACATACTGCGCTCCTCCAGAGGATGGACGCCTTGCGCCATCCACCTCAGTAGGGCCTTGCCATTGCCTGAGTCAGGGGAGGGGCGCAGCAAAATATGCTTACATCCATGATTTTATAATATTTTGAAACTGAAACCCCATGGATCAGTATTAAGAGTTGGCTAAATTTAACAGACTTGTTATTCTAAAAACAGATAAATAAAGGGCAAAAATCAAGTATTTATGAGGCTCTAAGCAAGCTGTACTTCACGGTGACCAATAGGAAGTAGTTGCTCTTTATAGAAATATTCTAGCTAATGAAGAAATTACATAGTATCACTATTTTGCAGCCCAAATTGATTAATGGTCTAGTTAGTAATTATCCATAGGTACTGAAATCCCAAAACAGACTGAGAGGTAGTTCCCACCAATGAAAGTACACAGTGACACATGTGAACTAGTATTGCCGATAATAATAAATTGAACCTGAATTTTATCAGAACTGATGATCTAACTACTCATTTACCATAAATACAAGGAACAGAATAATTCGTTTTACAATACCTTGGGATTGTAATGAGTAAAATCCAGAATGTAAGAGACTATTGGAAATACAACACAGAGTCTTTGGTAAGTAAATGTTAACACTCCTCTCTGTCAATCAAAAAAAAAAAAAATTACTAGGGAATTATAGGGAGGCAAGGAGTCAACTATAGCATGTGCACTTTGGGTTCTGAATCACACAACCACACTTAACAAAGGTTCAGCTGAGAAAGTATAAATATTAACTGGATGTTGGATGATATTAAGGAATTATTAGCTCGTTTGGGAACACAGGGATGTTTTAACTGTGTGTGTGTGTGTGTTTTTAAATGGTTTGTTTCATTTAGAGATACATACTGAAATATTTACAGACAGAATTTGCTTCAAGATAATTTGGAAGGATTAGAAGAAAAGGGGTGTAGACTAAGATTTGTCATGAATTGATAATGTTGAAGCTCCGTGGTGAGCGTATTGGGTTGACAGTGTCATGCCTGCTTTTCTGGATGTTCAATTTTCCTCAGTAAAAGGTTAAAAGTATCCCAGATATGGGGAGAAGGCCCAGTATTGTTAAAAGATACTCTCTTGCCCTGGGTACCTTTCCTTGAATTCTGATTTTAATGATTTAATTTTTCTAAAACAATGAAAAATTATTTCCCTCCTTTCTTTGTACCTTCTAGAAAAATGGCCCACTCCACACTGGGATCTCATGGGACGTGTCTTTGGAACTGGTTGGTGGCTTTGTGGTGGTTTCTGTGAACTTTGTTCTTGGTTCAGTGCCAATCAGTATGTGCCTCTGTTTTTCAGGTCCTCGTTCACCTGGGACTCCTGACCAAGGAATCTGGATTTAAGATCGCGGAGACGGCATTCAGTGGTGGCCCTCTTGGTGAATTAGTTCAGTGGAGTGATTTAATTACATCTCTGTACTTACTGGGCCATGACATTCGGATTTCAGCCTCACTGGCTGAGCTCAAGGAGTAAGGAGATTACTTTTCAATTTTAAAATCAGAATACAAAAAAGAAATTGTAAACTTGTAAAGCCCTCTATTAGTGTGTAATTTCTTGTGGAGGAAAATGAAAGTGATAATTCACTAAACAGGAGATAAGAAGATTATTTTCAGGAGCTAAATACATACACTGTGAGAAGGATAATATGTTTTCATTGTAGCTGTAGGCTCCTGAGGCTTCATAAATGAATGCTGGAAAATTCAAACTAAGGAGCTTATTCTTTGCTATTACAGGTGGTTCCAACATCTGCAGCAGAAAACATTATTGACTTTCCTAATTCCTGGTCTCTTGCTGAAATTCATACCATTCCCTACTCGGTGTCAAGCTTTCTAAATCTTAAAACAGGGCAGGTTCCTGTTTATAATGTAATTTGGATGAAATGAATTTCCTGAAAGTCTCAAACCAATTCTTTTTCAATTAGCCAACTTTCAACTCTGTCTGTTCACTCTTCCTGAGTCTTTGTTTTCAATGAAATTTGCATCTAGCTCCAGTCCTCTCTCAACCCCTTCTAGATTGACACAGCTGGCCTTTCAGGGACATTCAGACTCCCTCATTCCTGGGTAACTGCCTCTAGAGACTTTCCTGCCCCGCAGCCAAGCTTCATGTTGCTATGTCAAGTAGTTCTAGAAGAAACACCTTCAGTGAACATTCTAGAGATTGGGAGGGTGTTAAAATAAAGAATGTTTTACCCTGTTCTCCCTCTATTGCACAGGACATTGATACCAAGGAGGTCACTCATATTAGGTTCAAGGTCCACACCTGGTTGGTGGCATATATTGAGATAAAAGCAACAATGTCAGTAACATCGTATCAGCTATCATTTGTTAGTTATTTCCAGATGCCTGGTACCGTGAGAAAAGTTTAATTACAACATTCGCATCAACAGTTACGACAGCCATAATGTTGACGATGATTATTAATAGCCAACCTCTGTGGACCACTTACTGTGCGCCAGGGACTAATCACACTATGGGTTTTAGTCCTTCACACCAGAAAGTAGGTGTTGTTGCTGTCTGCATAAAATGAGGAAACGGAGGTTCAAATCAAAAATGAGTTCTTAGGTGCCAGAGACAACATATGGCAGAACTGGGCTTTGGTGCTGTGTCCGACTTTAAAGCCAGTGATCTTGCCCACAGTTCTCCTCTCAGAGCTGTGTAAACCTGAGGCCTCTGTACCCTTCATCATCACTCCTGTTTCTTCGGCGGGCTGCCGCCTGTTGCCTTCTTCCTGCTTGCTCTAAAACACATTGGGTACACAACCTATAAAGTGGATGTGTTCCTGCACTTCAAAGCCTCTCATTCTGTGCCTTCTGTGGGCTGTTTTTTTTTTTTTTTTTTTGGTACTGGGCCTACAGAGATGACCAGTGTGTGGTTAAGCAGCTGCCAGTCTTTTGATAATTACAACTAATACATCAAATAATAATTACACTAATTACCATTCTATTAGTGCTAATTGAAGTGTTGATGCTAGAAGGTAAGCACAGGGCATTCAGAAAACTGTGGCTGTTATAAATCAGTGTCCTTAGCATTTGGTCCCTGGCATACAGTGGGTGCTGATGCAGCTATGGAAGGAACGAGTGAAGGAGCGAGTAAGTGAGTGAATGGGTGGTTGGACAAATGGAGTCCTGTGGAAGTACCAGAGGTAAGAGCTGCCCAGGGAGCTCAGGAAAGGCATATGAAGAGTTTCTCGGGCAGAGACTTCCTTGATGGTCAAGGTACAGATCTTTATGCACATTGGGGTCAAGGTTAGATGGGTCTTATTTAAGGAGATAATTGTGAAGCCTGCTTAGAACAGTAGTGCCCAAGTCTGCTTGCATATTAGAATCACCTGGCGATCTTTAGTTTTATAATTTTAAGTTTTGAGGATGCTTTATTCAGCATTTTTGCCACTGTGATCAAAAGACCTGATAAGAAAAAATTTTGAGGAGGAAATGTTTATTTGGGGGTCACAGTTGACTCCATTGCTTTGGGTCAGAGGTGAGGCAGAAGATCATGGCGGAAGGGTGTGGCATAGGAGAGCATCCCAGGACCTCACACCAGGAAGCAGAGAGAGCTGCCCTCACCACAAAATATAAACCCTAAGTGCACAGCCATTGACCCACCTCCTCCAGCCACACCCTACCTGCCTACAGCTACCAGCCAGTTAATCCATATCAGAAGATGAATGCATTAATGAGGTTCAAGCTCTCATCACCCAATCATTTCACCTCTAAGCTTTTCTTGCATTGTCTCACACATGAGATCTGGGGGGGCACCTCACATCTAAACCACAACAGGGATCTCTTTAAAATCCCCCAGACACTGACCATTCCCAGGCTAATTTAATCACAACTCATGGGAGTAGGACACAGCCAGGTAATTGCATTGTACAGTTTCAAAGAACTGATCATAGTGGGGATGGGGGTGGCCCACCATGACTCTGCAGGCCTAGTCCTCTGCCTGGTTTTGTAGCATTTCAGGGGAGCCCAAACACAACCACTGTTAAGTATTATTTGGCTGCTTTCATATTACAGTGAATAATTTTTTATTGGTTCTTCTTATTTATACATGACAATAGAATTGATTTTAATCTAATTCTACAAGCATGGAATAAATCTTATTCTAATTAGGACTCCATCCTTGAGGATGTACACAATGGTGGGATTCACTGTGGTGTATTCATATATGTACACAGGAAAGTTATTTCAGATTTGTTTCACTTTCCTTTTCTTATCCACCTCTTTTCCCTTCATTTCCCTTTGTCTAATCCACTGAACTTCTATTTTTCCCCCTCTCCCTCCTTATTGTGGGTTAGCTTCCACATATACGTGAAAACATTCAAACTTTGGCTTAGCTTATTTCACTTAACATGAAGTCTCCATATTCATCCATTTAGTGGCAAATGTCATAAAGTCATTATTTTTAATGGCTGAGTGATATTCCATTTTGTATGTATACCACATTTTCTTTATCCATTCATCTGTAGAAGAGATCTACATTGGTTCCATGAGCTATTGTGAATTGAGCTGCTGTGAACGTTGATGTGGCTGTGTTACTGTAGTATGCTGATTTTAAATCCTTTGGATATATACCGAGGAGTGAGATATCTGGTTCAAATGGTGGTTCCATCCTAGTTTTTTGAGGAATCTCCATATTGCTTTCCAGAGTGGTTGCACCAGTTTGCAGTCCCACCAACATATAGGAGTGTATCCCCCCATCCTCACCAACATTTATTGTTACATGTTTTCTTGAGAATTGCCATTCTGAATGGAATAATATGAAATCTCAATGTATTTTTTTTGGGGGGGTCGGTTGGGATCCAGGATTGAATTCAGAGGCACTCAACTAGTAAGCCATATCTCCAGTCTTTTTATTTTATTTTATTTTATTTTATTTAGAGACAGGTTCTCACTGAGTTGCTTAGTGCCTCGATGTTGCAGAGACTGGTTTTGAACCCAAGATCTTCCTGCCTCAGCCTTCGAGCTGCTGAGATTACAGGTGTGCACCACACCCGGTTCCATGTAGTTTTAATTTGCATTTCCCTAATTGCTAGAGATATTCAATGTTTTTTTTTATATATATTTGTTGACCAATCCTGTTTTCTGTGAAGTGTCTGTTCAGTTCCTTTGCCCATTTATTGATTGGGTTATTTGTGAACTTTGATGTTAAGTTTTTTTTGAGTTCTTTATGTGTTCTGAGATTAATGGTCTGAGATACAGGTGGCAAAATTTTCTCCCATTCTGTAGGCTCTCTGTTCATGTTCTTGATCATTTCCTTTGCTATGAAGAAGATTTTTAGTTTGATAAGATCCCATTTATTGATTTTTCATTGTACTTCTTGTGCTTTGGGAGTCTTGTTAAAGAAGTCGGTTCCGGAGCCAATATGGAGTGTTGGGCCTTCATTTTCTTCTAGAATGTGCAGGGTTTCTGGACTCATTTTTAGGTCTTTGATCCACTTTGAGTTGAATTTTGTGCAGGGTGAGAGAGAGGAGTATATGGATTTCCCAGTTTTCCCAGCACCTTTTGTTAAAGAGACTATCTTTTCTCCATTGTATGTTGTGGGTGCCTTTGTCTGGTATGAGATAACTGTATTCTTGTGGTTTTGTCTCCTAGAGTGAATAATTGAATAATTATGGCAAAGAATGAGTGTCCTGCAAAGATGAAAGTATTTATTATGTGGCCCTTTACTAAAAATGCTTTCCAACTCTTAGGATGCAAAACTGATTATACAAACCTTGGCTTTATCAGAAATCCACAGAAAAGGGAGCAGGGAGCCTAGAGAGGCAGGGAGCTGAAGAGCAGAGGCCTAGGTGTGTCTCGTCCTTTGAAGCAGGATTTTCACAAAGTGGTGAAGGATTCCTGTAAGCAGGATTAAAACAGCAGTGACAAGTGTTTTCTGAATAAATGGCATATTCATTCCTGCACAGGAAGTTGATTTTCCAGTCGGGTACTTAGTCATTCCCTGGTGCAGGTGTGGCTTTGTATGGCAGGGTGGAAGGGCGGGCAGGTGAGGGAAAAAAAACTTAATGAAAAAGTATGAGCCATGATGTGGGTTCTGCAGTGCATTCTGGTTAGGAGAAAATAATAGACAACAGAATGAAACGGTATAGCAAATAACTAGTACCGTAGCAGCCAAACCCTGAAAGTGTTTAGAAAAAGGGAGGGCAGAGAAGTACTAATAGCTTCTTTCAGTTCTTTTTTTTCTGGTAAGTGAGGAAAGGAAGATTCAGAGTGGTTAAGTAATTTGTTTAAGTTCTCATAGCTGCTGTACACAGGAGATGTAGTCAGACCCATGTCTTTCTTGATTTCAAAGGCTGTGTTTATACACCACCATTTGCTTTTGTTAAGAGGCAGAATTGGAGCTCTGGGTTGGCCTTGAGAGGTGGGAAGTATTGAAATAGGCCACTGGTTTGGAAGAGCCATGCCATCATTTCTACTAAGGACTTTTGGGTTTGTTATTTGCCAAGTTTAATATCTCAAAATAAATAGTTTCTTCTCTCTCTTCTGTCCTTTTCCAGAATTATGAAGAAGGTAGTGGGGAACCGATCCGGCTGCCCTACTGTAGGAGACAGAATCGTCGAGCTCATTTATATTGATATTGTAGGACTCGCTCAGTTCAAGAAAACCCTAGGACCATCCTGGGTTCATTACCAGTAAGTGCTACATACTGTTCTTACTTAAGTTTTTAGTGCTCTTTTTTTACCCCTAACAAGGATTTCATGGTTTCGGTAGAAAAAGATGATTAAATATTATCTTTTGAACTGCATGGAATGTGTTTCTCATTCCTAATTGAAATTCAGACTGTGAATTTCAGAAGTGACTTTCTCCCTCCTAGGGCTATTAATTATTTTCATTGATGTCCTGAAAAGAGAAAACAAGTGTCCATCCTCCTTTGTACCCTCCCTGATACCTAGAATTCCTTCTCAGCGTGACTACACCAGTCTCATCTGTTTTACTCAAATAGCGATTTTGATCAAATATGAATAATGCCATTTCCTGTGGTCCTTAAGTTTGAGATAAAAACTCATTTTTTTGCTTTTCCCTCATTAGTATTCTTGTCATTCTCAGGAGGAAAACTAGGATGCTGAGGTCTTGAACTTTTTAACATATGCCTGTGCTTAGAGTGACCAAGGTACATGGTTGCTCCGTGAAAGTGTGTATTATTTAATAGACTATCTTAAGTGTTTCCCTGGTCATAGGTTTAGGACCATGATTTAGTATTCAAAATGATTTTATCTGGTCTACAAACATGACACTAAATAACATAAAATTGTAATATGGGATTTATTGTTTTTTTCTCAGTCTAAGAGGTGCAGTTTGATGCTATTATCTCTGACTCTTCTTTTAGCACTTGCATGTATTTTTAACAAAGTAAGAGTAGCTCTGCACACCAGCCTTAAGCAGATAAAAGTAACTATTTTGAATTTAGTCCTTTTTTTTTTTTTTTCCAGTGCTAGCGATGAAACCCAGGGCTTTCTGCATGTTAGGCAAGTGTTCTAGCACTGAGCTATATCCCCAGCCCCAAGTAATGCTTTTTTAAAAAAGTGATTTTGCTATCTTCTATTGCCATTGATACTAGTTTTTGCTTATGATCTGTAAAAAGTTTTCTTTACAATGTGACTAAATTTAAATAAAGATCACATTTAGTAGCATGAATGGTAGTTGATTCTACCATCAAGAAGGGTATATAAATGCTGTACCAATGGCAGTAAATGCTGACATGTAGTTTGAACTAGTTTCCTAAGAAAATACTCTGAAAATTTTTCATTTAGTACCAGATGGAAATCTCTCTGTGTGTTTCTTATCTGTTGCTATTGGGTAGAGAGATGTTTTGAAGTGTGCTTCCAATTAAATAAGTAAATGAATTTGAACTGAACTCAGTCTCTTTCAGTGTAGTTAATGTTATTAACTTGAATCTCTAAGGTGACATCAGGTTGGAAGTCCTGTAGAAGTCAGACATAAACTCAACTGAAAATGCTAAGAAATATCTCAAAAACCATGGAGGGGAGAAATACCCGTAGTCCATAAAATATTCTTGCAATTTATATTTTTTTCAGCAGCCATGATTTTCTCATTGGGCAGTGAAATATTCACAGGAAAGGAATTGAGGGAATATAGACTGTTCTTTTCCTTTCCTATGGATATAGTTTCATAAGTTAAAAAAAAATTAAAAACTTGGTTTGGACCAGGATAGCATTTTGCCTTTTGCATCATGTTTTTTCCTGTCATGAAGTCATCATGAATCACAGGCTATCACATTTATTCTCAGTTATGTGGAAATAACCATCTTTCTTCTCAGTTAAGAAGCCACAAAGTAAGCACTTTTTTTTTTTCTTTTTTTTTTTTTAAAGCTACAGCCTTGAGGAAAGACAGGGAGGGCTGTTGTGTTCTAGCATTTGGGGAATGGCAGACATCTGAAAAAATGGATAACAAAAACTCGGCAGTTGGGACCTCTCTGGATTCCCCTCCTTTGCCATTAAGAAGGGCTATTTGCGTGGAAAAGTATTCTCAGTGGTGGTGTTTAGGTCAATTAAGAAGGGTGATGCTGTTATTAAAATGGTGGTCATTGCTTGGTGTGGGGTTCTTGTTGGATGAACAGGCACCATCGGAGGGGTAATGGAAAAGTGAAATGCTCATCTGCCTTTCTTTAATAACTAGTTTGCCTGAGCAATAGCAACCAGCTGGGGGTCTGTTATTGTTTTAACCCTGCAGGCTTCCTGGCGCAATAGAGCAAGGGAAACATCAAAATGCCAAGCAGGTCTTCTAGGAAGTTTCTTGCCCGTTTCTTTCCCCTTTTCAAATTAGAAGTTGTCAGGGCTGTCAGTATGCATTTTGGTTGATGGAAGAAGGTATGAACTGCATTACATGTAATGTTATCAACTGATCTTCCAAACGGGAATAAGCCCTTTAAGCCTGGTGATCCTGGGAAAATACTTGTAAATTCTATCCAATTAACGTGAGCACCTAAGACATTCAATCGAACATTTATTAACCCATTAAGTCCCAAGTCATCAGTACTTATATCTCAATGAAATTGACATGGGTACATCAAAATAGGCTTGAAATCATAGTCTATAGCTTATTATATAATTTATGAATGCTAATGATATCATTAATAATGAATATTATCACTAATATCTATTATCACTCTATTTTCCCAAGACTAGAGCTCTAAAACATAAATATTTAATTCGTTATTACCATAAGTGGTATATTTTGCTCAGTTTAAGTTTTTCAGGTGTTCCATAAGTGGAACAATGGGACATTATAGTTTAAATGCCTGAATGTGACACCCCTTTTGCCTCAAAGAGGCTTTGTCTAAGAATCAAGGACATACAAGAAAAGTATGATGCAAATATTCTAAAATATGACATGTTTACATCAAACTCCAAACGACAGGGTGGGTCCATGCACACTGGTCATGAGCATCCATCTTGAAGTAGTGGTGCTGAGAGTAAAGGGTGTTCCAGGATTCATTTGGCATCGCTGCAGAGGCCCCTGTTAGAGGAAGGCTAGCTGCTTCAGGCATCCAGGCAAATATCTTTTCAAGTCATTAATCTGTTCCTGATGCTCCACACACAAAAAAAGGCATTAGAGAGATGACATAAATATTAACAACACAATTCCAAAACAGAGGTAGAGAGTGATTGAAGAAGGGAAACTAGGATGTTAAATCCCCCATATCATAGGGAAAGGTTAATCTGGTTTAGAAAACAAACGCGTAAGGTAGAAAATGCACAGTACCTAAGCCGAAGTCTCCAGTGAAAGGAGGCAGAATTGTAGGTTTCCAGGAGACATCGGATCATCGCTGCCTTCGGTTGCCTTGAACTCGGCATCCCATCCCTTACATCTCGGCTCTGTACCCAGTGCAGGCTTTCAGGAGTTAGGCCCCCACTAGGCAACATTGCTCATCACTCTCTGTTTTAATTGTCCAAATATAAAAATGACAGGGATGAAATGCCAAATTAAAAATAAGGTGACCAGCCCATGCTAGAGAGGAGTGTAGATGGTGATTGGAAGCAAGTGGAAGAAGCTCCTTATCCTCATGCGTCCTGCTACTGCCGTTCCTCTGAGAGTGACCCTTCCAGAGCCACCCCATCACCCCTGCCATGTTCTGAACACTGCCATATTTTTCAGGAGAAAATACACTGATTCAACCAGTTCCTCCTTTTTAAAAGGAAAATATATATATATATATATATATATATAAATAAGAAATGGAGATGTCTTAAGAAAAAGAATGTTCTAATATTGACAAATCCGGGAAAAGAAGAATCAAGGAACCCCTTGGGTCTCTTCTTTTTCCTGGACTGTGGGCTTCTATTTCTGTCTATCCACTGTCTGCCAGGCTGAAAATAAGTCCTTGATGGTGTTGTGAATATTGCCACTGTGATAAAGCGTCTTCCATGAAAGCCACACAAGAATCTCAAACAAGAGCCAGGCTTGGTGGGGTATACATGAAATCCCCAGCAATTTGGGAGACTGGGGCAAGAGGATTGCAAGTTGGAGGCCAGCCTCAACAATTTAGGGAGACTCTTGTCAAAAAAAAGTTTTTCTTTTAAAAGGACTAGGAATGTTCAGTGGTAAAATACCCATGGGTTTAATTCCTAAATCCCTGGTGCGCACGCGCGCGCACACACACACACACACACACACACAAAAAAAAAAAAAAAAAAATTTAAAAAATTTTTTTTCTGTGGTCCACTTGTATTTGACTGTGTGGTTACAGCTTTTCCCTTTCTTTTCTTATTTTCCTTGTCTAGGCAAATAATGGAAGGAAATCACATAAAAATTGCAATTTATGAACATGTTTCCTGGAAAACTCAATCTGGTGTTTGAGTTGATTTTTTTTCAGAATTTTATATTGAAGTAAAAATTAAAACTTGAAATAATGGCTTCCTAATAGTAGGAAACAGAAGAAAGAAACTAAATGCAATTCTTAAAAGTCATTGCTGTCATCTGATTTTAAAATGTGGGCTTTAGTGCTGGGGCTGTAGCTCAGTGGTAGAGCACTTGCCTCGCATGTGTGAGGCACAGGGTTCGATTCCTTAATTTCCTTCTTCAATTGGTCATTCTTTGTGCCCTTCAATGCTGTGGTTAGAAAACTTCTGTAAAGGGCCAGCTAATAAATGTAATGGGTTTTGTGACCCATGTGTATATTCTCTGTTTCAGCTTCTCAGCTTTGTTGTTATATAGAGTGAGGATCGTCACACATAACACAGGAACCATGGGATGTGACTGTGTTCAAATAAAACTTTATTTTTGTAATATGGAAGTATGATTTTCATGTGTCACAAAGTTATTCTCTTTTTTAAAAAAAATCGTATAAGAATGTAAAGGCCATTCCTAGTTCCTGGCCCCCAAAATAGTGGTAGGCTAGATTTGGCCCAGTTTTAGGCCTTGGAAAAACAGCCAAATGAAACATCTTCAGTTGTATTTCTTCAGGCTGCAGGACAAAGCAGTAAAGTTCTATTGTTAATAAATACATAAAACCCAGCACTCCCTATGAAATGAGATTCTAAGCATAGTCCATTTTTTAAGTGTGCAGGAGACATCTGGTCTCTTTATCTCTTTCATCGGCTGTTCAACATTTACGTCAACTAACCAGTCTGTTTTGTGTTAAGTGTGAGTTATGTATAATGAAAAGAAACTGGTTCGTCACCATTCTGGAGGCTGGAAACTCCAAGATGGATAGGTCACATCTCGCTGTGTCCCATGTGGAGGGCACCATGTGATAGGAGAAGGAGCCTGCAAGCTCTGATCTCTATTGCTTTTCTCATAAAGTCACTAATGCCAGCATGTCCCCCTCCATGATCCCCTCTACCCTAATTGCCTCCCAAGGCTCCTCCTCTAATTACCATAAGCATATGAATTTGAAAATTAAGTTTCTGAAACAGGAACTTTCAGGGAATACCTCAAACTACAACATAAGCTTTACCCCAAGTCAAATAGCCTAGGTAATGTAAGTGTTGAACAAGGGCTGAAAGAGGTGATGCATACCCTGTGCTTTAAGCTGAATAAGACCTGCAGAGATGGTAGTTCTTTGTTTTTTCAATATCTGCTGACTAGGCACCTACTATATCCTTAACTCTGGTTGGGTGCACCCAGCAGAGAATATGGCGGTCCCCGGATCCAGCTTTCATGGAACTTTTCATTTAACTGCTGTTGGAGCCACCTCTGTGATTAGTCATCCAGTCTGCAGCAAATGCTATCTGCTGTGTGATGACTTAGGCTCTCAAGTCCTGCATGGAGATGTTTGTATGCTAGCTGTTTTAAAACTTCTCAGGCTGGAAATAGAGCTCCAGGTAGAATATTTGCCTAGACTACACAAGACCCTGGGTTTGATTCTCAGGACCCCCTCAAAAAAAAAAAAAATAGCCTCTCAATTCTTGTATAATAGCATTTTTAATATACATTATTTGTCCATTTTGGGTAGTCTTTGAAGAAAGGATTAGAGCTTTTCCCTTTTGAAGTTCAAGGTGAAAGACTTATAGTTTGGGGTCAAGGTGGTTGGCTTAAAGATACCTCTTCTTCTTTCAGGTGTATGCTCCGAGTCCTTGATTCCTTTGGAACTGAACCAGAGTTTAATCATGCGAATTATGCCCAGTCTAAAGGCCATAAGACTCCCTGGGGAAAATGGAATCTGAACCCTCAACAGTTTTATACCATGTTCCGTGAGTATTTGTGTTTTTTCCTCTGCTTTCCAGAATGCCACCAAAGGTAGAGGGGTAAATTAATTAAAATAAGCATCTATTTGCTAATTTTTACTCGGGACTCTTTGCTGTAGAAATGTGAGGCTTTTGCATTGGGAATCATTGATTTTTATTTTTCTGTAATTGAAAACCTATGTGAGAATTTTGTGAAAAGCCTCAAAAATGTTCTGGTGGAAAAATATTCAATACAAATGATCTTGAGAAACCAAGTGGGGGAGGACTTTGGTGGCCTCCAGCTTGGCAGGCATTAAGCATGCTGGTGAGGGTCTGTTTCATCATTCATGAGAAATGAGGTCAATCCATTTTACAGGTAATTCCATTTTAGCTATTTAAGCATCAAACTTATTAAAGAGGAAATAATCTAGCCTTTTCTAATTGGAACTATTTTAAACTGTTTCGTGCTTTATTGACTTGTTAAATTGCCAACCCAGAATAAAATGCCTTCTCTTGGTGACTTGGTGTTGTCATTGTCAACAACAGTGAATATTGTGTGTAGTGATGCAGTGAGGGCAGAGTGCAGGAGACACTGGCCCCACGGCAAGACTCTTGGGAGTTTTCTGTTTCTCTGGTCTACTTGCCCCATAGTCTCCATTTCTTACCTGCCTCTAGCCTCGGGTCTTCATTAGCTGAGGGCTGTAAAGCCAAGTATCAAACCTAATAGCTTTTGGGCTCAAAATAAATTTCTTATTTAAGTCAGCACACCATAGTGACAAGGTGACAAGTTCTCTTCTAGAAATGGAAGGCCACATGAGTTAAGCAGTTAATTTGGATGCACAGAATAAAGATTGCCCATTTCCCCAAAATGTCAGTATAATTTTAATCCAGAGATTCCTGTTTCTGATCTGTCAATCTGTTTGGTTTGTCAAGTCAGGAACTAGGAAACCTGTGGCCAGCCTTTTCCCCACGTGGCTGCCCAAACTTCTCTTTGTAGGTAACCACCCAAAGCTCACTGAATGTAACTGTGAACACCCTGGACTAACCCTTAGGTGTTGGGCCCGAGGAGGGAGAATTAAGAAAGGAAACAGCTAATAATTGGTTTGTGTTTAAATGTTCTTTTTTAGCTCAGAGAAATTGACGAGAACGTGTTGTATGTGTGACAGCATTATTATTTTTCCTGGAGCTATATTGTCCTGTTCGGAACCTGCCCTTGGGCCAGTTCAGGGCACATTAGGTGACAGATGACTGTCAGCCTGGTGAGGCATTAGAGTTAGCCTACAGTTTGACTTTGCATGAAACTTTTGGAGATTAGGGCAAGTCACACAGGAACTTAAAAAGTGAACTGAGTGTAAGTGACATAAGGTGTTTCCTATGTCCAAAATGGCCCAAACTGACTGAATGATGTAGTAGGCCCTCCAACAGATGGCGTTTCCCTGTCTCTAGGCTGTAGAAGGAGAGGTGTAGAAGGAAAGGGTAGAATGGTGGAATACAGCGTCTGGCAAACCTATTTTTGTTTTCATGGATGGAGGGTTTAAAATTATTAGTTGATTGAATTGAAAGAAGTTCACTGTTTAAAATGTAACTATGGTCAGAAACATGGAGTAAATTCTATCAGGCTGGGAGGGGTATTAATTTCCTAACTCTGACTCAGAATTCAGAAATGAGGAGGAAGCTTAACACGTTTCATTGCCTTTAAAAAAAGAAAAAAAAGGGAAAAAAAACCTGCATGCCCAAACATCAGCAATCACTCATAACACCAAAAGCAGTGTTTTGATCATGCATTCATAGTAAGAAATATTTGTACTATTATTTGAAACTGTTATAGTATAGGGAACAAGGTTTTCAGTATATAAGAAAGAGGAGTACTTAAAGAATTTAAGTAAAAAACACTCTTTAGTTTGAAAAAGAAATATCAATATGAATATCTTTTTTTTCTTTAAAAAGAAAATGTTTTTTAATTATATACTTTGGAAAGAACGAGGAGTAAAGGTAGCTGAGTGAGTGGCAGTGAATATTCGAGTGCTCTGATTGGGATTTCCTAAATACCTTTTGCTGCCTCCAAGGATAAATAGTTGGTTTTAGGTCTGAGGCCAGAGATATTTGAGATGGGATGCCTTATGCCAAAAGGGAAGGAAGTGAAGAAGGACCACTGGGGTGGGGTTAGGAGGACACAGGATCCCCAGATGGGGTAGTCTGAGCATCAAAAGAAAACTGACTGCACTGGATTGAAATCAAACACGTAAAAAATAATAAGTCCAGAATGATGTGCCGAGGAAGAAAAGTCCCACAAAATGTAGCCGGTCACCTTTGCAAGTTGCTAGGATACCAACTCATTACTCTGAAAGAGAGGGTGGGGAATCCAGCTTTGATCCTCCCGCCTTTCTAGCACAAATTATATTTGAAGGTAATTAAGTGGTTGATGAGAAAAAGTTGTTAATCATGGGAAAATCAGGGCTAATAAATGTAAAAGAAATAGAGAATTAGAAAATCAGCGTTTTGAAACTCTTAATGAGACGGTGCAGTGAGTCATCATCAATGGCTGCTAAATCCATCAGGTAACAGGTTGATGGAAAACTTTCTCGAGGACGAGGCTGCCTTGAATAGAGGAAGTATGCAAATGAATAGGGAAATGAAGCAGTTCCAGATATTCATCATGTCAAGCTGTGCCTGGGCTAGAGAATTTGCAGTAGAAAACAGTATCTCCTGCACCCCACAATCCAGGACCTCCCCACAGTGAACTTGGATGCAGCCTTGCCGGAGATTCCTTGCTTCCCACATGACAAAGGAGTTGGGTCCAGTCCAACTGGCTGGGTAAACTAGTGGTTATTCTAGTGGTTTGAAAGGAAAGACTGTTCATCTAAAAATAAGAAAAAGACGTCAGAAGTTAGTATTCATGCCTTGTTAGTTTTTAAAGCATTTGCCATGGCTTCTATGTATGGCTGATAGTACTCATATAATTGATGTATAAATATGCACATATATTGCAGTGTATTGAGACTCTTGTATGTTTATTTTTTTCTACTGTTGGGATGCATGATGAAAAAAATATTAGAGACTGCAGAAAGAGTGTTATACTTGGCGAATCATGTCTTCAAGTTCATCTGTCTTAGGAATTTAGCTGTATTCTGGCAGGTGTGCAGTGCAGGGAGCCCAGCACAAGAAAAAGAGAAAAACACACATTCGTGCTGCATCTTTAGAAGCAGTGAAGTGAAACACGCTAGACTGAAATGCTGTTGCCTCTTAAAAATATTGATGCTGTGTTTCTTACTTGGACTCTTCTGTTTCTCCTGTAATTTCTCGATAAGCCGATGGGTTTCTGTTGTCAAAAAAGCCTTGTTTTTCTGTATTGTTTTACCAACATCTTGGAAGGTCTCTGGAATGACTCTCCCTGTGTATTCTGCTCACAGCTGGACATTTTAGGATGTGTTAGCTGACTAGGCCTGATCCCTTCCTAAGCAGCTTCTAGAGAAACTTGGTGGTCAGGCAACACTGAGGCCTTTTGATTAGTACTGTTAAGTGATGGCCTTTTCCAGAAGCTGGTAAATCCTGTTGTTCCTCTTTCTAGGCCCTGGTTTCTGCTTTTATCTCTTGTCCGAATGCAAGAGTGGCTTCCACACTGGCCTCTAAGGTCTTCTTACGTCTCCAGAGCCAGCTCTTGAAAGCTTAACCTGTTCCTCCTTACAGCCACAGTGCCTTCCCTTTGTCCACGTTCAGACCTTATAGCCAAGTGCTGACCACCCTAGGCTCTCTGGCCTCAAGCCTGCCTTCCCTTCTCTGCCCCATCACACACCTCACAGGGTCCTGGCACCTCTGAAGGTGCCACCCAGATTCCTTTCCACCCCTGCCTCCTTGAAATCATACATTTAGCAACATTTTCTTGGTTGAAGACAATTTCATTGATTTTTCTCCATTTTTCCAATCGAATATGAAAAGAAGAGCAACCATATTATAAAAACTGGGAAAACTCTCCCCTGCTGAAAACAGCTCCCCCAACACAGTGTAACCGTTGCTATCTTTTCCATGTGTTTATTTTTTATCTTATGGTTTTTACATTTTATATTTTATTTTAGTTGTGATATACATACTAAAATTTTGTGTCTGTTTTTCCACTTAATGTATCATGTTCTTTAAGATTCTACTCAGATTTGAAAGCCATTTCTTGCACTGTTTTAAAGTCCACCAAGTGGCTGTCTCTTAATTTGTATTTATTCGGGGATGTTGTGTTATCTCGGTAGAGAATTAATGTGGCTTTTTCTATGCTTGCCAAGTACATGGGTTGGCTCTATAGCTAGGCATTATTTCTATCCCTGTCTTTAATCTACTGAGAACACTACTTGTTTTAAACTCTTGAAGGCAATATCTTTTTTTTTTCAGTCTCAAAAAGGTATTTATACCTCAAACAAAGAAAAAAAATCTGCCCATACCACATAGAAAAATAAAAGAGAACGTATTTGCCCATACCACTTGAAAGAGAAAAAATAAAACCCCCAAATTGACTTACACTGTGCATTACTCTTTATTTGGATAGTTCTAATTATCTCTATGACACCCACTTTCACAACCTCATCTGGCTTATGTGAAAATATTGTCCAGGGTGAAAATCTCGTCTTTCCCTGGAGACTGGCTGAAAGTAGCAAAAGCAGCCATTAGGAGTGCACAGCCCTGGTTTCAGGCAGACTTCAGCTCAGACCTTATTTGTATATCAGTGCCCTTTGCAATCGAGGCTGCTGGCAGCTTCAGTGTTTATATCACTGCCATGGAGCGCTTCCTCATTCCCTCAGCAAAACTGAATAAGGTCATTTTATTTATTTGTGGAGTAACTGCAGCACTTTGAACATCATTCATGATGTGAAGACACTGGAAAATTTGCCTCCTGGGTTCTCACATTTTGTGCTGAGTCCATGCTGGGGAATGGTCAGCATTTCTTGGTGCATGTAGAAATTGGCAGCAGAAAAGACAGGGAGCTGTAACAGGGAGCTGAATGAAGAACACAATGTGGAGTCTGGAGCATATATATATCACTT